CTGACGATTCAGCCACATTGGAAGATATTTGGGGTGCTAAGTTTAAATGTCATAGTACATTATTGCATTTATTTCTTTTTTTAAAAAAAATCCATAATTCAGCAGAAAATTTGCAAATTAGGAGCCCTGACTTGGATCTGTACATCTGATCCAATATTCCTATGTAAATTTCTGCAGGGGAGAACCACTAAGACTTTTTCTGTTAATCCTCCTTTCACTGGAACACCAGTGGAGGCTGAGATTTACCTTTTAACAAAATGTGTAGAGAAATCTAGTGGCAAGAAGTTTATATTACAGCTAAAGTAATACTTATATCAAAATTACCTGGAGGAAAGACTGCTGCATGGCTCTTTGCACAGGTGCATTTTCAGCACTCTTGGAATTCTGATGACTACAAGATCATGAATATTCCTACTCCTGAATAGTCTACTGCTTCGAATTGTTGTTTCTTAACAGTACCAATGAAATATATGTGCTCCACCCACCCTAACTCCTGCCCAAGGAAAAATGTGGTCTTATTTTCTGTTTCTGGGATTGTAATTACATTGACTGAAGATGATTACATTAGAGAGGGATTATTTGATAAAACAGCATGTTCCTATCATAACTTGATATTAATGCTACCACTTTGTCTCACAAAATTATTTTTCATGTGCTTATTCCTACACACCTGTCGCTGATGAATGCCCTAGGATGCAAAGGGTTATACTTTGATTTAGTGACCCAGCCAGAGCTGTGAGTTCCATGAAAGGTTTTGCTGAGAACTGATGAGACCAAGGACTTCTGAAGATATGTATGAAAAATAGGCCAAATTACACTTCTACTATCTTGACACTAAGAAGAAAATACAGAGATTAATTGTCTGATTCTGTTGTTAGCCTGTTTCATGATCTTAGCAAATTTGTTTATTTTTATGAACTCAGTTTTCCAGTTTTACACTGTGTTTGTCGAGGGTTTGCACGTGAAGTATAACATAACTTATCAGGAGGGATTTTTTCCAGCAACTTTCATGTGATTACTTTATATGAGTAAATTTGTGTGAACGAATTTAATCCTGCATGTTACCTTATAAAGGCTTGGTGATAAAATAATATTAATATACACTGAAGTCTGTTTTGCTTCAAGCAGTGTAAAAACAACAAGTACATTCTGAAGGCGAACACACCTTTAAGCAAAGATCTGATTAAGAGCAAAGGTCTAGTGACTGATGAGAACCACCTTTATTTTGAAAATAGCTTCAAAGAGATTAAATCAGTCAGTTATGCAGTTCCACAAGGTATGAGTGTTGCCATCAGTTGCTGCTAAAAGTAAAACAAAAGTCAAGTGTTGAAGTGTTTATTTCTTCATGCAGCAGATCAGATTTTTTACCAGTATAAGCTGGTACCAATTTTCCACACATGTTTACTGATTTTTTCTGTTGCTGAAGATGACATAGCCTGATCAAAAATAGATCAATCTTCCCAAAACTTTGAAATGGGTTTCCCAGGCTATTGAGATGAGATGAGTCCAAATCCTAGAAAGATGGATGAAGCAGAATCACTCAGTGGAACTTTTGCCTTTGGTCTGCTGAATCACGAAAGATTATACAAAAAAAAAAAAAAAAAGCCCCATGCCATAAATCTTACCTGTAGCTGGTATGTCCAGAAAGAAATGAGCAGATTCTGTGCTCATGGAGGGTAGAAGATATGTTAAGACATGTTTGAACCTCAGTTCAGGTTGGTGGTAGCAGTCAGTTTTAGCTCATAAGTACCTCGTTACTCAAACTAAAGCCTGGAGGGCCAAAGAGGCTCTCGCTGCTGGAGATGGATGTAACTAAAAAAGCCACTGAAAGGGTACTGAAAGCAGTGTGTTGTACTGAGAGAACTTGCTGTGGTGCTTACATCCACATAAACCACTGGGTTTTTTTATAGAATTGGACTTTCCCAAAGCTTATTCTTTTTTTTGGAGTACTTATCTCCTCCATAATATTCTTAGACCTTAGGATAAGGCGATATTTGTAGATAATGTAAAGAAACTGTAGTCACCACTCCCTGGTTCAGAAGAATTTTGCTTTGAATAATGACCCATGGTATTTTATTTTCATGAAATTGCTGGGCTACATACAAAAAAATATGCAAGTTATTAAATTACAGGTAAGTTCAGCTGGTACACATTGGTATTTTTCTACTGGGTTTAGAGGAGGAGAAAAAGATCTGACCCCCATTACTCTTGAGTCTACTCCTTTGTTCTGGTTGTAGAAGGAGTTGTTTGGGGTTTTTTTGGCATATCTACATTATTTATAACAAGCTGATAAACATATCTGAAAAGAAATCAGCCTCTTTCTGTATTAGTTCTTGCTTTTCTGTAAAGTTCTTGCTTTTCTTTCTTCAGGCTGTTTTCTAGTGTTGATGTTTGCTGGAGATCATGTGATGTTCCAGTTGTTATGATTAATATTTGAAGTGTGACAGGTCAAAACTCACAATATTGATAGAGTACATTTATACTTTTTAAGTTCTTCTAAAATGAGGAGTCACAGCAGGAGGTAGTGTTTTGTAATAGCATTTTGTGTTCTGGAAAAGTACCAGTCAGCAGGGTTCTATCATCTTTGTAAAAATAAGATATTTAGGTTAGTTTTGATTCAATTCAACTATTCTGAAGATTTCTTCTCATTTAAATTATTGATATGAATGTGAAAATAGAGGGCAGGTTTATCTTAAAAGTTTTCCCTTTTTAAGTGTACACTTTAATTCTGGAGAGAAATCAAGCATGGCCTAAAAATAAAAAATAGAAACAGTAATACTGAGAATAAAGCAGTCAAAATAGAATATCTAGTTTTTAAAAAGAATCATTAAAAAAATGCAAAGATTTTCCATTGTTGTCTTCCCTAAAAATTATATATTGAATTAAACCCTGTGTTTCCTGCTTTAGAGAAATAAGTAGTTACTGTTTAAGTCAATTAGCAGGGAAAACCACTAGGGAATGTATTTCCTACACCACTTTGTTGTGCCTTAGAGGGTGAAACATAAATATAAGACCTTTCTGTGTTAGTAAGCTCTGTTTAAAAGTGCATGGAGAACAGAGAGCTGCCTGGTGGATTAAAGTAGGAATGGGAACTTCAAGTAGGGGCAAGCAGCACTGCATTGATCCATGCAAATGGAAGCTTAATTGTCTGGAATCCTCTCTTCAATTTTATTTGGGTCATTTACAGTATTGCATAAAATGCTGATAATTTTTTAAATATTTAAGCCAGGAATAATAGCTAGATGGCCCTTTAATTTCTTCCTTCACCTGTGGCTGTCAGGATTACTTGCATCAAAGTTTTGCTCTCTCATATTTCTCTGAAAACCTCTTGATCTCATTGCATTAGTTGTCTCCCTCCCTCAGTTAAATTCTTCATGTATTCCTATCTGATACTAATTTGCTCCTCTGGTTGAATGTATAGTCAAGAGAGTAATTTATTCATCTTCAACAGCACCACTGAAATCACAGAAGTACTTGATGCCCTGATTTATTAAGGCACTTGAGGTCAGTGCCTTAAGCATGTGCTAAAAATGAAGAAAATGCCAGCCTGGCCTCCAAAGGATTAGTCACCTGCATAATGGTTTGCAGGGTCCTTAAAAATATGAATTTGTGGAACAGATTTGCTACTGGTATAAGGTTAGAGCAGCTGTTCTGGAAAGCTGAATGATGCTGGAAATACTTTCAGTGGAATTACAGAGTCTGCACTAAGTCCTTCCCTCTTCCTGTCCTGTGCTGTATAAAAATAAAAAAATCAAAAGTTAGAAAAATTTTCCATAATTTTAACAGTTCAGATGCCATTTGCATAGCAGGACTATTGGCATCTCAATAAGAGGATATCTTTTTAATTTTCTTTTTGTTTGATTTTGTGGGGTCATATTATTGTGCTCTTTCACATTTGCTTAATAACAGGACATGAGTGGTTTCACTGCTAAGGGTACCAGCAACTGCAAACTTAGTGAGACAAAACTTAGGTATCCTAGATTTGCAGGGTAAAGTGGTTTGTATTAGGAAGCTATAGAGAAAGAAACCATGAGGAAAAAAATAGAAATTTTTCCACTCAACCTGACTTTTTTTTCACTGTGACAGTGAACTTTGTTTTTCCTCTTCCTAACGAAAAAATGTGTTACATTCCTTTCTTTATCGTCTTTTTTTTTTTTTTTTTTGTAAAGGTGCCCCTCTAAGTCATATGTTGACTATAAAAATATATTCTTGCAAGCTAGGTGGCATTTTTTTTAAAAGTTAAAGATCTACTTCAAATGCTCTATTTGGCATGAATTCACAGTAGCTCTATTGTGTATCTTTTTGCAATTAAAACTATAAAACTAATCCAATCACTTTGGACAGATTGCAGATTCTTCTGTAGTGCTTTTTGAAGATATTTGAAACATTCTCTTTGCAAATTCTGTTTAAGATTGTTATGGTTTAGGGGCAGCTTTATTGCATTTCAGAAATAATATCCTGTAAAATGTCTGTAACAAGGTATTTTATCTGAAAGCCCATTGTAGCTTTCTTATTATGAGTTTCAAGATTCTGCAACAACAAAAGGGTTCTTATTCAAATGTACACTATTGCATTCATTCCTCTAATAGCAGCATTCCATCATATCAGCCTAAAAATAGGCAAACAATTGCATGGAGTACTTGTTATTCATCCCAGATGTTGTTTTTTTTTTTTCTTTATTTTGTTGTTAGATATCAGACTTTTTGTTAGTCATATGGAGTATTTGCATCAAATACAGAAATAAAAAATTGTTTTCTCTTGGTATACACATGCTTTCTATCTGTGTCTCCGAGGGATATAAAAAGTTACTGGTTTAGTTACATTGGTCATTTTTATTGCCTTCCTGAAGACAATGGAAACTGCACAAGGCTCCATATGAAACTGTCTCCAAGTGTAAATTAAATCTGTGGTTTAGTCTGTTGTAAATAGAGAAGAATGTACTCTTAGATAATAAATCTTTTTTGTGTATATCAACAAGTTGTCTATTTTTTTCTTCCTAGATACACCTTTAGTTAAAATCATTTCTTCCAATTCATGGCCTGAAGAAGGACAATCTATAATTTTGACTTGTGAATCCAAAGGAAAACCAGTGTAAGTGATTTAACAAGTAATATGTTCTTTGTTATTTTACTTATTCTGCTGTGACTGCAATCCTCAGCTGCAGAAATCTACTGGCTTTGTCTCCTCCTGGTGTGTAAAGTGCTCTCTGGTATAAAAAACCTCTTGAAGCCTGTCTTCATTAAGTGTCGATAGAAGATTGCTCTTTTACTTTGTCATCTATTTTAGTTTTCAGGAAGAATGCCAGCTGTGAGATTTTTTTTCCCCCCGTCAGGTATATCAACCTGAAAGGTGTGCAGGTTTAATCTATCTCTGTTTACATCACTAAATTGATGCTAGAGGAGGAAACATCTCATGAAAATCTTCCTACATCAACCACCCTCAGAAAAAATATATTGAAATTTGGCTGCCATTTACAGGGGAGTTTGAAGTTTAATTATATGTGCAAGTTGGCTGCCTGTTTCAACCAGGATTTGGAAAGGTGTAGCCTGCTTTAAGAATTTGTTTTCCTTAGGAATTCATTTCTTTGCTATGAATATCTTTAAAGACAAATCTGCAGAGGTTAACCCTTGCACAGAATCTACTACTTAAATAGACTTGACTCTTGAAAACAGCAACTGCTCGGAGGAGCATCTATATATTTACTCATACATACATATGTGTGTATATATATATATATAAACTAATTGCTTAATATTAGGTTATTATGAATCAAGTTTCTTAAATATTGACCTTCTGCTCAAAGGATCAATCTATAGTGTCGTGATGATACACAGATTTAGAATGGTCTCTTGAAAATGGTAATGGAATAATATTTTGGACCTAGAAAAGGTGCAAATTACATGACAAAATTATGTCACTTATGGCTAAATTTCTCTCTGGTGTAGCTTTAGTGACTTCGTGGAATTGCTTTATTTAGGAACCTAAAGTCAGATTTAGGTCAAGTAAGGCATTTAAGTACAAAATTTCTATTTTGGAAAGCTCTTCTGAATTATGTCTGGCATAATTTTAACTCTGACGGTTTTTTGGTTTTGTTTTTTTTTTTTATTTTTTATTTTTATTATGTGCCTGCATCATTTTAAAGCAACTTCTCCATGCAGATCTTGACTGGGTGAGCACCTAGATCATGCTTCTTCCCTGCTTGACACCAAAACACTGAAGTCCATCTAATTAGTCTGACCTGATGCTCCATGTAATTGGTCTTTTCTGTACCTGTGTACTTCTGATGTTTCTGTGTTTCTGAGAAAAAAACTTATGTCAATAGCACAAAAATCCATTGTGAGTCCTCTCTTGCTTTTATAATGTATCTGAAGGGGAAGGAATTATTCTTTTATCTCATATCCCTTGAACATTCCCCTGAGTATAAAGAGGTGGAGTCTGTTTGCCCCTTATTTTCAAAATCTGCTGAAGATGTGCAAGTGCTTAATTTTAGGAAAGAGGTCAGCACTGATTGCTCTGAGTGCACCATTGGCTGGGTGACATTTAGCATTTTCCTCATGATTTAACAGGCGAAGTGCTCTTTTTTGGCTAATAGACTTGGGGCATTCTAGCCCCACTCAGCTCCTCACTCACAGCAGGATCAGGGAAAGAATCAGAGGAGTAAAAGTGAGATACCTTGGCATACACAATATTTTCTATTTGGTATGCATAATATTCTGGACAGACTTTTAACATTAGGAGGCACTAGTTATAACTTAGTAATTACAAAAGAGCTCCAATTAAGGTGTTTACTGATTTGTTTATTTATTTTAAGTAAAGTTGTGTTCTGTCCTTAAAGGATTCAAATGCAAAACTTACATGTGATTTTGAAAGAGGGAAAAACAAAATCTTCACATTACAGAATTATCAAGACAGGGGACCTGCATGTGGTAACCTTTGGGGCACAAATATTTTGCCAATAACTGCACCTCTAATTGTCCAGGCCACAGGCACTGCCAACTTCAGCTGTTCTGCATTGCTTCATTAGGTCAGTCTTTCATGGCACAGGGCCAGCAATGAATAGGCATCCTCCTGGGAGTAGTTTGCAGTGGCTTAGCTTGAGAAACAGGAATGTCAGTGCTCCCAGCCTGCATTGTGAGTACCTCTGGCTGGGAGAGAGAGAGGAATTGGAGAGGTCCACTGAGCCCAGATATGTCAGTGTCACAAGGTAAGTGATGAACTGTGGCTTTGTGGAGAGCTCAGGGCCAGCCGTGGTCCTTCACAGCTGTTTGCACACTGTGGGTTAATTTCTGTATATTTTATCTCAGTCTCTCCTGTTTTCTGCAGGCAGCAGTAAATGAACACTTACTTAGAGGTGCTTTTCTCTTGCATCCCAGAACAATTTTCACAAGCTTCCAAGCTGCATTTGAGATGAAAACTGAGAAAGGGTGAAGCCAGGTGGTGGCTGTGGTGACATTGATGCTACCAATAGCTGCTGCTGAGGAATTATTTTCCAAAGGGGAAAAGCAGGATGAGGCTAAAGCTGGAATGCACTTATAGCATCATACAGCTCATACACCATCATAAGTGTGATACTTACAGCATCATACACCAGCTCATCACACTGAAAGGTGAATCACCTTCCTGGAAGGGATTCTGTCCCTCAAACCACGTGCATCGTTGTTACCCTGATGCTGTGTTTCCAATCTACAAAAGTCCTGAGGGAAAGCCCTTTCTAACTTACAGTCCTGTAGCAGCAAATGGGAGGGAAGACTCGCTGAAACCAACACCTCTGAGAAAGCAACTGCACTTTGCATCTCTTGCTGAAACAGCAGCAGAGGGACAGAGAACAACTACAAAAAACAACTGTTCTGGGGGTTACATATAGGGCCCTGCTGAGGTTTCACAGTTTAGGGTATAAGATTTCTCTTGGCCAGTCATTAGCCATGACTTTGGACAGGAGAAAAAATGTCCTCGGACCCTTGGATGTGAGCAGCATCAGTTGTCACAGGGTGTGAGATGGGCTGGGATTATCCCAGCCTCTGGGGTTCCCAGTTGCTATGGATGAGTAAAGATCTTGGTAAAGAGATCCCAGTGTTGGAACAGGGATGCTGAGGGTGGGCTAAGGGGGAGAAGTTGGGGCATGGGAGAGGGGTGGAGAGGAAGATAGAAATGTGATCTAGTGAGGCAACATCAGAGGGTGTAAGGCAGACTGTGCTAATTCTGTAACTGTGCTGTTTTGCCTCTCTGCTCATCACTGGGAGGATGAGGATGGCTCTAGCTCCAGTCAGGCCCTGTGCTAATTTCTGTTGCTTTGAGGCAGGAGCTGAAAATGACCTTCTTTTGGGTAACCACTGTGTTGCTGCTCTCCAAGTGGGATGATACCAATAAAAAGAGCAGGCCAGGCTTCCTGCCTGTTCTGTGATGCTTTTGCAGAGGCAGGCCACATGGATTTGGTGATGTTCTGACCCAGTTGTGTAGCACTTCAGGCACCAGCTCTAAGAAACAGCAGCAGAGGGCTGGTGTTTGGAATAGTGTATGAATAAATCTGTGACATTTTCAATTAAATTTTTCTGTTGATGCGAAGGAAAAAAATGAAATATATTCATCCGTTTACTACAAATAAACATGACTCACTCCAGGAGTATACCCTATTATGTGTAATATTGCAAGGGATCTTGAGATATAGCATTTGTGAGGATTTTGTCCAATTGATAAATGCCAAGTTGGCATAAAAAAATAAGAGTTTACTTTTGGGAAACTTTGAATATGTGTGTATTTGTGTTCAGCTTCCTGTTGCAAGACTCAGCCACTGGTTTCTTCACACTGTTGACAGTTTTGATAATATTGATGTCCAAGGTTATTGTGGTTTGGGCTTTTTTTCTCCAAATTACAGGTAAAAATGTATTTAGTCATTTTTCTGCATAACTGAAGTCAAGACGCTTGGTATGACTATTCAACAGCATTCCTTTTTTTGGAGGTACTGTTGTGCAGTTTCAAACCAAATTGAATCTCTTCCTTTCTTAATTCTTAGCACTGCTTTTTTTTTCCAGTGTTTTTGGCTGGATCCTTGGACAGCTGTCAGTCTGTAATATTTTAATCAATGAGCTTGCCTAATATATATGAAAGGTGTTGTTGCATCTTAATTTATTTCATCTTTTAGCATAATATAGTTTTATCAAGACTTTGTTTATTTTCCAAAGAAGGAAATGTAATTAAACTTCAGAAATCCTAGACATCCTTTTTATGTAATGTCTAGACTCTTCTGAAATCATATTGCCTGACAGTATTTTGAGTATTTTAATATAAACATGAGGTAGATGTAAAAAAATATAGAAAGTAAAGAACAAAATGATCATTTACAGTCATCCTTGCTTACAAAATTTTATAAAAGCCAATGTTTTCTTATTGCAAGCTGTAACTTCTATACGCTGTTGTGTCTTAACAATGTAGTCTAGTGACCCAAAACTGCCACAAAAGTAAATTCAGAAACTGACCCATAATGAAAGAAAGGTTCAATATTTAGTATTCTTAGTCAGTACTCTCATCAAAGCATGCATGAAATATGTGAGTTTTTTAAGTCAGTGTCATTTCAGGAGAAAGGACGTCAAAATATAATGGAATAATTAGGGCACAGGAAACAAAGAAAAAGTTAGCTGTCTCCTGTGTGCTTTAGAGAAATGTCTTTCCATTCCATGCAGCTCAGGGGAATCACAGTACAGTTGGTTGACAAATGTAAAGTGAATATTTGGCCTTGTTTGAGATAAATAGGGAAGATTTTTATTTCAGAAAACTCACATAGGTATCCTTCATTAGAATAACATTATTCGTGAGCTCATGAAAGTTGTAGAGAAAAGCACAACCAAAACCAACCACTAATGTGTACAGAGCAGTATAAAGTATGGACAAATAAACATTTTAATGTAAGAAAAAGTGTTCAGGTGTTCACTTTTAATAATGAGTGCACACAAAAGAGCCAGTTTTGGGTTATAAAGTAATGGTAAATGATGTGTGTGGTATCTCCACACAGTGTCCTGGCTTTTCCAGCATCTGTTTAAAGAAGACTTCCCTTGAGTGAGACAAACATTTTGCAAAGGTTGGTGAAAACAAATACT